AAATACTCAAAAGCCTCGCGGGATGGCCTTTTCAAACGGACTTTTATCTACACTAGTGCGTAGCCCGTGCGATGCATGGGATGGTATATTTTCCAGAAATATTTAACGTGTGAAATATTAAAAATAATATAATTTATATATATGTAACAAAAATAAATGGATTGCAAAGAAGGAAAAAAAATATAAATTATTGAACACTTTCTTTGTGAAGTAAAATTTGTGAAGCTTTGATATATTTGATTATGAATAGAAAAGTATGAAATACTACCTTCGGACCGTTGAGATAGATGAGAAGATTTACTTAGAATATATAGAATAAATATTGAGATAATGATTTACCTTTTACCTAGTATATATAAAATAAATATTGACATGATGTGGGAAAATTATGACGAATTATGACATAAATTCGTTTAGAAGTTAGTAGAAAATATTAAAAAATTAGATTTATTTTTTATTTTTTAAACCCTTACAGTAATTCGTACGCTCCTTTTCATACGCTTAATTTATCAAGTTTACACATACAAATCAAAATTAATGCAACTCGAAATATTATATAACAAATAAAATGAGATTTTTTATCTAACATTTAGTATATTGCCGAAAATTATTTTATAAATCTTATTCTCTTTTTATGCACATAGATATTAAAGAATGAGTAAAAAAATTATCTAAATATGTTTAAAAGTATCTAATATTATATGTGTTAACAATGTTACAACCAAAAGACATTAAGAATACGTAGACTATTATATAACATATGTGAAAGTATTAAAATATTTTATATTATTATCGAAAAATGTGAAATTACCTCAATTCTGTCTAGACTATTTTATAAGAAAAATATATATACTTAAAGTTAGCATACACACACAAATATATATCCTTAAAGTTTGCCCAACTAACATGTTTAAAAGTATATACAATTTTATATATAAAAACACGTTTAAAGTTTACATATTTTACAAAAATTAGACTGCTCTCAGTTTATATAAAGTTTGTTGTTCTCATATTCGGATAACGTATTATGCATTTAATGAAAGCACCCTACATACAAATTTATAAATATTAATTAAAATAATTTTCTAAATTATATAAAATTGAAATAACAAAAGTAAATATTACCTGTTCATCATGAAACAGTATATGGAATGCGTTACAGCTCTCCCGTTCGTGATGGGTTTCAATACTGCGGGTGCTCTCAGACGCAAAAAAAGTTTGTTTCTTTTGTTAACGGAAAACGGAATCAAGCGTCGGTTACAGCTCTCCCGTTCGTGATGGGTTTCAATAATGCGGGGTGCTCTCAGACGCAAAAAAAAAGTTTGTTTCTTTTGTTAACGGATATGCGATGAAAAATTATTCTCTGTATTTTTTTTTCTCTGAACTCGTGAATGATGAGTTGTAATGGTGGTAGTGAATATCCTTTTATACAATTTTTTATTAACCAAAAGTGATAAGATAATTATAGATTGTATTTGGATAGATAGTAAGTCCCATTATTTTTGCAACGGACAATCAATTTCACATATTTTTTATTAACCAAAAGTGATAAGATAGTTATGGATTGTATTTGGATAGATAGTAAGTCTCATGATTTTTGCTAACCGACAATCAATTTCACATGCTTAATTAACGGAAATATCACCATTGTTAAGGAGAATATCCATTTGCTTAACAGATTTCGTAACAGATTTGCTTAATTAATGGGTTGGTAACAGATTTGCTTAATTAATGGGATTATCTGATCTGATACTTAATTAACGGGAATACCAATTACATAATCCTATTCACGATTTTATTTTCAAAATTTGATTGAGATTACATAAATAAAAAGTCAAAAGTCAACTCAATTTATTTTAGGTTTCTAAAAATGATTTTTACATCAACCTTTTTAGATATATATAGATTTGCAAACAAAAAAATAAATGTATTTTAATGAAAATTATGAAATCGGGTCGAAAGTTATCGGTCCAACAAATCTCTACCCGTCTGATTGAGAATAATTTTGAGATATCATGCGACTTTAGTTCAGTCTTCTAAATAGTAGGCATGCTAAGAGGGAAGAAATTCAAGATTTTGATATCTCAAGAGATTTTATATAATCCCATCTAATAATATAAATTTGGATATAAGTAGAATTATCATTGGCAATTTGAAAATGTTGAGCTCAACGAGTCAAATTTCATTCGTCGTTGATGCCTTTTACACATAATTTATTGTTGGTTCTTTGGTCTTTCACAAAACCCTATCATTTCTACAATTAAAACTTAGTGATAAGTCGCAGCAAATATTCGTTATCATGTCGCTATTGCTTAGAAACTTACAAAGTTAGTTCAAATAAATGTTAAACATATTGTAAAATGTAGGGAAAACCAAAAACGATCATACTTTTAGAATAGGATTAACTTTTTTAACATAATTATGCGCATTATTACTTATAATATTACTATAAATTTAAAATGTTATATTTTTAAAGTTCAAAATAACGACCACAAAGGCTACACAACATATAAATTTATCAATTCATCTTAGAATAACTTTTCGACAAAATTCCTCTCAAAATTTACTGTTTCACAACCCTGCATTTGTATGCGTTGTGGCAAAATAGTTATGGTTGTAAAACGAATTGAATCAAGCTAGAAATTCAATCTCATACTTGAACATGGCTTGGCCTTTAGGGAGGCAAACCATAAGTCACTCTTTATTTGAACGAGCTTAAGATTGGTTCATATATCAATTTCAACGAATCAAAATCGAGTCTTAACAAATTGAGCGGAGCTAAGAACTTAGGAAATTATATATATGTTCTTATTCTTGAGCAGAATTGAGAACGCAAGTGACTCGTTTTGTTTAATAAATCTAAATGTAGAGTTTGCTAAGTAACCATAATTAGCTAGCTTATAGCTTATTTAGTTAAATTATAATCTTTCTATATTTAAATAAGTTTTATTTGTTGAGTATTTTAAAATATATATATATAACATATCGCATATGTTTCCTTCTTAGGTAACTTTTTAAATAAGTCTGTTAAAAATTATATTTTAATTAGCTTATCAATTAATTTTACTAAATTTTTTTTTATTATATCATCTAATTTTTAGATCGAATTTCATTTATAATCTATCAACTAATTTATGAGTTATCAGCTACTTTTTAACTAGTTTTACCAAATACAGTGGTACACTAGTCACAAGTTATCAATTTTCCAAAAGAAACGTGTTGTTACCAACCCGTTTTATTATTTCAAACAGTATATTTTCGTTTTACCTTCAAAACCAAACTGGCCGACGACCTAAGACATACACAGAGTGAAGGAGCTGCTGAGAAAATCTACACTGACAAATTGAGATGGTAACGACGAATCTCACATCCCACTTTTGTTTCTCCATAGTTCTCACACATTTTGGCTTCACAGATCTGTAAATTTTATCCTAATTTTATCATTTGCTTTTTTCATCGATCGAATAATTCAAGGCTCAATCAGTAAAACCGATGTCGAGCCCAGTTCCCGATGCGTGGTACCCGACGCTCTCCTTCCTCATGCTCGCCGTCGGTCTCGTCATCACGGCCTCCTTTTTCATGTACGGTTTTGTTTCTTTTGATGATTCAAGTGATTGGTGGCTGTGCATTTAGTTTAATTGTATACAACTTGATTTCATGCTGTTTATATCTTGGTTGTGAAATTTACACCTTTATGTGGCCTTTTTTTTTTGGAGATTTGTTTTTGGTGTGGTCAATTATCGAATTTTGTGTTATACGGGCTTGATTTTAACCGATTAGCTTGATGTCTGTGTGCTATGGATTTTTATCCTGTGGACTTGTTTTTGGGGTTTATTGAACACTGGGATTTTGCATTTTGGTACTTGATTGAGTGTATATTATGGTATCTTTTTGGACAGGAGGTCATAAAGAAAGGACAGGAAGAATTGGTTTGTTTTTTTCCTCATATTTTCATGAGAAAAATAACTGAGATACCAATTTGCTTATTAGACTCGTCTGAATGTTAGCAGATTGATGTCTAATTAGCTGATTGAGCCTTATTTAGAGGTTTTACCCATCTAGCTTGTTTGGTAAAGAGCTTATTTGATTAGCATTTTGGCCCAAATCATTAATTCTAAAAAAGCTCAATATATGACCGTCTTTTGATATAGAGGATTCATAAAATAACACGTTAACATAAGATTCCCAAAATAGCTATGCGAACAACTATTTACCAAATACTCATTTTACAAACTATTAAGACAATCCGCTAATCGAATCAACTATTACAATCTAATATCAGCTATCCGATGTCTGCAATCAGCTAATGGCTAAACAGGGCCATGTTTCATCTGGATGAGTGAATCACATGAAAAACAATTTATTTTAATGAAATAATTTATTCAAAATGTGAAGGTTTTCCGATGTAAACAATGACCCATCTATGATGATGATCATGGAACACAATTGATTGTTGACTTGAAAATGATCTGTCCTCATTTGCAATCAGAAATAAGTCAATAACTGTGTTCCTTGTATTTATGTGTCCATGGTGTAATTTTTCTTTAATATCACTAATACTTGGTACCAATGAGTGACATTGTATCGTGATATCAGCATCAGATTCTCCTGACCTTTAAGAAACATAGTTCTTTTATTTACACAATTAGTTGTTGGTTTCAAGTACTTTTCATGCTCATATACGATCATACCAGGTTAGTAGTATTGCACTAAAAGATCATCAAGGAGCTTTTCGTTTCCTCACCAATTTAGGTACTAAGTAAATTAAAATTTTAATTTGTGGACTTGAGTAGCCCGTCAGTAATATATGGAGTTTTTTGGTGAATGCAGGTATATTTGGCTTATAGAACAGGCAAGCTAAAAGTATGCATTTATACACTTCATTGTTTGATATTGATGTCATATATAGTTTGAAAAAATAAATTGAAGAAAGAAATGTTCTACGAAATTTAAAAGTTTTGAGAACATTATTATCACACATGTGCATGAGAAAGACACATAACTGCTTCGTGAAAAATTATCTACAATTTTAAAGGTTAATATGGAATAGAACGTTGGACTTATTTGAGGTATTGAAAGTTGTATGCTATCCGAAAGGATTTGGCATACATACCTTTGATGTTGTATTAAATACCCCCTTGTGTTTCATGGCTAGTTAACAACATGTTAACAGAAGTGTTTTGGCAAACTCCGGAGTAAACATGACACTTCAAATGGAACATTAGTTACATTCTCTAGTTGGCTTGCTCTAGTTGAATTAGTGTTTGTTTATTCAATTTTTTCTAACATCATTTTCATTACCTTAATATGCTTCCTTTTCATCAACCACGTAGAGAACTATAACCAAGTGAGTAAATGATGGATGGGAGTGGAAGAGAACATGATTAATGTTTGAACTTGGTTGAATCACGATGAGCATGCATTTTCTTGTGTAGTAGAATCTCTTGTTTTGCAGAAAAATACTTTTTAACAAAATATTACTACAAAATGGCTGCATGTAACATTTCTATATCGTGCTTGTATTTTATTGCATTTTTTATTATGCAGCTATGAGGCTACTTCCTCCAGGAAAAACCGCAGTCTTGCTAGGGAACTGACAACTGGTGCTATTGCATCAGTCTTCCTGGTAAGTACTTTCAAACACTGTCCGAATCATACAAAATTTGCTGTTAGTTTATCCTTTTGGTTTTGTATGTTGACCATAATTCTTGCATTCTTTGGCAGGGATTTGGATCTTTGTTCTTGCTGCTTTCTTCGGGAATCTATGTTTGAGTGCCTTACGCCAACTGGTTAAGCTTTACATGCGGGTGACTTGTGTCTTTATCTCGGTTTGTGAGCCTATACTAACTTGTTTAGGTTGTCATGAAGTGTTTATGGACTTTATTCGTTTATAGAAAGAGACTGAATGCAACTTCTTGTCTTTATGATTCATCTTCCTTAGAAGTTGATTGGAGTTAAATTTGATAGTCTGAGATCATACAAAGGCCATTTTGGTAGATTGGGGATGGATTGAGCCCTTGTCAAATTGTGTGTGCGAGTTTTCTTTGTTTCTATATGTGTTACTGGTATATGACCAAATGCACAAGAAACTCAACACATAAGTTATCATCAGAACCGTTAAATGTAATAAAACTCATCAACAATTGTCCTTATATGCCAATTATAATTATAAGTTATATGTATCACCACGATATTATATGTTATTCGAACATTACCAAGATGAATCATATGGAAACGCATGTTCACATGAGAAGAGATAAAACGGGAAAATATGATTACAATCATCATACAAATAAAGGAGAATAAAGTAAGCAAAATAGATGCTATTAATGGAGAGCCAATTGACATTGAGGGTTCAAAACTCTCATCCATTACATTTTGAATTCTCCCAATGAATGGATACATGCATTGAGGTTTCAAAACCGTTGAATTTAATCAAGATTTTTTTCACAAACAATTTTGTTAGAATATTCCATCCCAAAAAATTACAAGGAGTGCTTGGTAAAAACAAAATGAAGACGAGTATGAGTTTGAAAGTAGATGTCCCAATTTATGGAGATATGAAGCATAATCAATAAAACTAGTATTCGGCATGTGTATTTGGATATATATAAATAAAGTATTATAAGTTATTTGTATACATATAGTATTAATATTATAAGTTAGATAAATGTATTACATTTTAAACATGGAGTTGTATAAGTTATATTTATATAATATAGTTTTCAAAAAAATAATTAACAATTAAAAAATTATTATTTTTAATTATAATTTTTATTAACAAGTACTCGTATACTACGCGAGTAATACGATGTACTAGTACAATACCCGTGTATTACACTGGTGTTGAATTAAAAAGCTTTTATAAAAAATATTTAATTTTTATTTTTTTTAAACTAAAATAATTTAATTTTATAAAAAAAATCACTTTTAGTTTTAATTAAATTGTCAAATTATATTTTTTTAATCATAATAATTAAACACCCGTATATTAAATGAAAATGTCAACCCGTGTTGAATTTTTTAATCATAATAATTAAACACTCGTACAAAAATATATATCTTAAATAAATAGAAATAATATGGTGATATTTATATGTATAAGTGTAGAATGTGTTTATTTAATATTAAACAAAATAGATTAATTATTTTACTAGTTAGATGCCTAATACATCAAGTGTCGTATCAGTCGTGTTTCACAGTTTTTTAAATTTATATATAATTTTAGAATTTATATAAATAATTATTTATTTTTATTACATTGACAACATACCAATTAAATTGAAATAAATATCATTTTTAAAAGAATACATACCAATTTCTGTTACTTTATAATATAATTTATAGTTTTATTTGATATATTTTAATTTAGTTTGATAAATAAATTTAAATTTTATTTATAAGGATATATATTACTGTTTTGTATTATATATATAAATAAATAGTAAAATGTAAACGGACTTCATATATCAATTCAAATGCAACACACTAATTAAGATTTTTTTTTCTTGACAATATTAACCATATTTAATGAACAAATATAGAAAAATATGAACAAAGTATCTAAAATGACATTTATTTTATCAATTATCAATTAAGCCAAAGTGACAAATAATAAAAATAGGAGGGAGTATATATCATTATATATTTTAGTATGACACATGTTACTCGTGCGATTTATATGTGTTATATTATAATAAATTTTCTACCTTATAACATATAACTACATTACACATAAACATATTAATTGATAATAATTTTATTTTTTAATTAATTTTAATAAATAATTTTTTTCTTATTATAAAGATAAATATAATTTATTTATTTTATATATACAATATGGATGTCAAATCGAAGCTCATCAAAAGATGATTAATTTGATATATTATATATGTAAAACCGATAAGAAATACAAAAATACTCGTATAATACGCGAGTAATACGATATATTGTAATTAGTAACTTATGAACCACAAAAAGTGTTGTAATCGCATGTGGTCATTTGCAGGGGCGGAGCCTTATTAGGACCAGTGTGGGCCTAGGCCCACATTAGAAAAAAAAATAAATAAAAACCCTAATATTATTATTCCCATATTGGTTAATTTAAAAAATACTAATTATGCCCTATGAGCCCAATAAAAATTGTCCAACTAACAAAGATTAAACTCCTAGTATTACTATTAGTCCATATGAGCCCAATAAATAAGCTTAATATAATAAACTAATAAAGCATTTAACATAATAATTAAACAAGAGAAACGACTACAAAGATTACGCAGACAAATACAAAGGGAAACAAAAAGACGGAAAAATAGGGAGAAAAAGGAAAGAGTCAAATAGTTTGTCAATTTTTGGTCCAGCTATATAGGAAAACTACTTACAAGATAACGAAATTCTTTCTGTTTATTTTAATAGAGATACTCTTCTTTATTTTTTAGATAGTGGTAAATATATTCTTTTTATGTAAAAATTGCACATTCAAGCCCTTTTTAGGTTTATAGTTGTTTAAAGTGTGATATGTCAAAATAGAAAATTCATTTATTGTAAATTTATAATATTATTTTTGTATATCAGACATTGAGAGATATTTTCAAAAATATCATGTCAACAAAATCTTGTGAAAATGTCTCAAAAGAAGATAAATTGAATCCAATTAGATTTGAGGGAAATTCTAGTATCTTTGGGCAGAAAGAATATAATACGGGAAATTTGGTGTCAATACGAAAATTAGTCAAGATGATCAGGTTTTATCCTCAAGACTTTTCTATATCCGATGTTCTCATTTTTTAGGATCAGTTGCAGACCTATATTGTTGATAAGAGCTTCAATCGTTTTTGCATTTGCCCTTTTCATTAAGTTTTTTATATTTATTAATTATATAGTTAGGCCCCCACTCAATATATTTGCTAGATCCGCTCCCGGTCATTTGAAAGTCTTGGTTCCAAATACAAATGTATTTCGACACAATTAGTCACTACCAAACAGACCTTTGCTGCCGTCACTTTCTCTCTCACGAGTTCAGTACCAAAGTTCAACGAGAACTTAAATCTTCACCAACTCAGTAATAAAGAGTGAAAAACTCAAAAGACAAAAAGAGGGGGAAAATGGAGACAACCCCACCACCCGCCGAGCCCAGAAGGCGCGGGAGACCGAGGGGATCGACCACGAAGCCGAAATCCGACAAGGACAAAGAATCCAGCGGAGGAGCGCCGTCGAGAACGAGAGGTCTCGGCGAGAAGAGGAACACCGCCGCCGACGAGAGTTACGCGCACTGGAAGCTGCTGGTGCCCGTGCTTTACGACTGGATAGCTTCTCACAACCTGGTTTGGCCGTCTCTGTCTTGCCGGTAACAGCTCAATCACTTTTTTATAATCGGTTTTTTTCTTTCCCTCTTTTACTTTTGCTTTTCCTGTGAGGGTTTTATTAGGGTTTTTGTTTGAAATCGAGATGGCGTAGTTTAAGCTCAGATTTAATGTATGTAATTTGAGGTCTGTTAACTGGGCTAGACGATGAAAAATCCATGGAAATGTATGTGAAACCGACTCGTAAAAGGGCTTTGATGTTGCGATTGGTTCTTAATCTTTTCTCCAATTCCTTCACTCGCCATATTTCTGGGGTTAGTTATTTTTTCGTTTGTTTATTTTGTTTTTGTTTAGTCTTGCAACTTGCAGTTATATGCATCTTTATGGCTGCCATGTCAAGATTTGCATAGTTCTGTAGAAATAACTTTGCTTTACACTAGAATAATAGTTTTTGGTAGACAGATTTACTTGCTATATTATTTTGGAAAGCTGTTGGTCTAATCAATTTGTCCTGGGTATTTGTACATATTGTTGTATTTTTTGTGGTTATAGTTGGGGCCCAGTTCTTGAAAAAGGAAACTTCAGGAACAAGCAGCGTCTTTACCTTTCTGAGCAGGTAAACTTTCTTACGCTGTTTCTGATTTAATATTTTTGTTTCATGTTCATTGGTAATACTTGTTTTGTGTATTTGCGTGTAGAATTAACTATTTCAAGTTTTTGTTTGTATTAAACACCCCAAACTCTTCAATTGAACTTATTGTTTAAGAATAAACACCTAGATAGTAGATACTCTATCTTCAGTGTCTGTCTGACTGTGTATCTATCATACAAAGCTCCACTTTCACATTTTAGTATTTGAATGCCTCTATTATTAGATTGTGACCTGACAGGTCTTTAATTTCTGTTTCGACTATAATAATATAATTATGTTATGCCAAAAGCATTGAGTTTTGCCATTCTCTCCCACCACATGAGTGGATGATGTTTACTCTATTTTTCTTCTTGAGATCATTATTAGATAGCACTTTGGCTGGGAAAATTATACTCTATAAGAATTACTGAAAGAGTATCCAGGGGTCCTTTGTTTTTCATGGTGCTACATTCTCAAATTTATTGCTGCAATTAATAAATTTATACTTTTGCATCCCATAACCTCAAGAGAACAGTATCTTCTTGCCTTCTCTTTTCTCTCTCTCTCTCTCTCTCTCTCTCTCTCTCTTTTTTATTCTCTCTCTTCTCAATTGGATTGGCTCACAACTGGATTTACATTGCTTGGTAAGCATTGAAAGTCAAAGGAGTTCCCTTGGTTATATTGTTCATTGTAAAAGGTGCCTGCCTCATTTTCTGTGTGATTTTGGGTGTTTTCATCTGCTTTGTTTATTTACAGAAAGACCGAACGTTTTTATTTTCTTGGGAAAACTTTGTCATATATCTTATAGACTTATGGTGTTCATGTCATCGCTTATTTTATGAAGTTTTTATGGTGCTGTGCAATTTTGACTGCTTTAACCTTTAGCCTATGTTTTTCCCCGCTTTCATAAGTTACTGTTGAGCTAAACTGTAACTTTATGTTTGTTACAGACTGACCATACACACCCGAACACTTTGATTATAGCAAATTGCAAGGTTGTGAAACCACGAGTTGCTGCAGAGAGCCACATAGCTAATGTATGTTTTTTATGTTCCATATGTGACGTTTAAAAAAACAGTAATTATGTGGAACCTACCCTAGTTTTATGTTTTTCATCAGTTCAATGAAGATGCGCGCTCACCATTTGTCAAGAAGTACAAAACTATCTTACATCCAGGAGAGGTACGGAATGTATTCCTGTAAATATTGGCGTGCATACTCCAATTCCATAATGTCACTAAACTTAGTTGTATAAAGCTGTCATATTTTCACTAAACTTGAGTTGTTGGAGCTGTAATAATCACAGTTTGGGGATCCCTCTTTAATACCCCATCCTCACGGGAAGTTTCTTAGAAAAAATATGCTATGATATCTGAGAAATTGCTCGGAAATTCTCATAATCTTATTTTCGAGCACTGTTCTAAAAATCGGCCTAGGCGGCCGCCTAGGCGCTAGGCGGTGCCCGGGCGCCTCCGATTTGTACAAATCGGCAGAAAAAATCGGCCAGGCGGCTAGGCGTTGCCTAGGCGGGCCTAGGCGGTCCTAGGCGGGCATGGCGGGCTCGGCGGCCAGGCGGTTAGGCGGCGTCTAGGCGGGCGTAGGCGGATCTAGGCGCTCCTAGGCGGGCTCGGCGACAATTTTTCAGTTTTTTTTTTTAAATACTAATTACATTATTTTGTTCTCATGTTTTCTTTAATATATATTAATATTATTATTTGGACTTTGGTATGTGAATTTATTATAAGTTGAGATAATTTTATTTTGTAGGTAGTTAAAATAAATAAAAAATAAAGTATTTAATATTGATTTCTGGGCCCCGACTAGGCGCCGCCTAGGCCCCGACTAGGCGCTCTAGGCGCTAGGCGCTGGTCGAGCGCCTAGCGGGCGCCTAGCGACTTTTAGAACACTGTTTTCGAGTTTATTGTTGAACTTCTTGTTTTGTTTCTATAAAGTGAAATACACTGAATGGCAGCACTCATTTTGTAATGCCACATGCCAAGTGCCAACTCAGGGATGCACGAGTCTTTCTATTTTTTTGTCCTCCATTGTTCTTTTCTCATGAATTATAGGCAGAATAGAATGGATTGACCTTTGGATGATAAGTTGTAAACTAAAAAAAAAAATGAAAGCTTCTCAAACGGATAAAGTATTATGCTACTTCTCTAATACACGGTGTTGGAAGGATTATCGAAGTGGAACTGATGTTGATGATACTGTTTTTGTCTGACAGTGTCTTTGCATTTGGAGAAGTATCTTCTCCAATAAATAGGTGCCATGTGCATCTACAATATTGTTTTGCTTTGTTTATTGCTGCAGACTTCTTTTACATCCCTTAAGCTGAATTTCTTTTCAGTATAGCTCTTGTTATAATTGCTGTTTTGGCCTCTGACTCACTACCTGCTGCCATGACTGCATTCATTAGAGTTTCGTCATGTCATTGTAGGTGAACAGAATTAGAGAACTGCCTCAGAATAAAAATATAGTGGCCACACACACCGACTGTCCTGAAGTAAGTGATTGATCATATTCCCTTTAGTCTGGATTACTCCATGATCACTTAAAGTTATTCTGTTTAACTTTGTTAGATTGCTGTCATGTTAGGTTCTTATATGGGATGTTGAGGCCCAACCTAATCGACATGCTGTGCTTGGAGCTGAAGATTCTCGTCCTGATCTGGTGCGTTTCCTTGAACAGATTCCGTTAAAATCTCCCAGTTGATTATCTTTTTTTGGCTAGAAAGTGGTGACTTTGCAGCTTTCGGAGAGTTTCTTTGTTGGCAGCTAGGAATGCTGTCCATTCATGTTTAGTTTTCCCTGAATTGCAGAGACCTGAAAATAGACTTTAATATTTTACCAACCCCCAAGGTTACAGAATCACATCATTTATGAAGCACGGAATGAAATTGCTGAAATATCTCTTGCAGCTTGCATTAAGTTATCATTCAGAGGTCAGATGAGCAATACATAATTGCAGCTTGGGCTCTTCTTCCGAAGATTATTTTAGTGCCAATAATTTCCTGGATGAAAACTACAGAGGACAAAATAGTGTGTGTTTCTCAACGATTCAGTAGGCTTTTTTTGTGACTCCTCCCTGGATTCATATCTCTCCTTCGTTAAAGTGTGTATTGAACATCCACCTGTGACTCCTCCCTTTTTTTTTTCTTGACATATTTACTTCCATTTGATTTTTGTCCTTATGTGCACCTTTTCTCAAATAGGAATTCTCCATTTTAAAGTAGTATAACAAATCTAGAACTCTATTGCAACAGAGGCGAAGAAGGTTCCCTATATTATATACTGTGTCATAACTCATAAGTACTATTGTTTTGTAGTACTTGATGAATATAACGAGTTAAAGTGACATATTACTCATGTTTACCAGGTTTTATCTGGACACCAAGATAATGCAGAATACGCTCTTGCAATGTGCCCAGCTGAACCCTATGTGCTTTCAGGAGGTTTGACACTTGTAGCGTGATTCATGTTTTGTCTTCTGCCAACCTGGTTTCATTGCGTGTTTATATAATTTCCATTACCTATGTATATGTTTTGCATGCATATATACATTTCTTCCATAACTCCTGAATGTGTTTGAATGTTGCCGTGGTATTTCATAAAGCTTATACTGTTAGTTTTTTGCAGGGAAGGATAAATCTGTCGTTTTGTGGAGTATTCAGGATCATGTGTCAACACTGGCTACAGATGCAACCCAAACTGCAGAATCCACTCGTTCTATTGTTAAAGCTGCTGATAACTCTTCTGTTGGTCCACGTGGGGTTTTTCAAGGCCATAATGATACTGTTGAGGATGTGCAATTTTGCCCATCAAGGTTACTATTAGCCATTAATGTATAAGAAGAATCTGTCAACCTGTATAAAAATTTATTTAGTACAATATGTTACTATTCACTTATCAAGTCACGTTTCAAGGTAGTTTTATAGTTTTTGCTTTTCTTGATTCATTATATGTTTTGCTTTGTATATGTTCTTGTTGATTCAACTGTCATGTTTGTTTCACTTCTTATACTTCCTAGAATATATGTTCATTATTGCTTTCTGACCTGTCCTTACCAATCTTCCCATCATTGCACCATTGCAGTTCACAGCAGTTTTGTAGCGTTGGAGATGATTCTTGTTTGATTCTGTGGGATGCACGGACAGGAAGCAATCCCGTTATCAAGGTTGAGCTTCCCTTTGTTTCTCAATGCCTGTACTTACTACTTTCCCTTTGTCTAATACAGTCCTACTTCATGTATGGGCTACTTGGAAGTGGCACAGCATCAATAGTTACATTCATAGGAAAAAACCATAAAATATGTTGGGGCATATGCATAAAAGTGTATTAATTGAAGTTTGTGTTTGTCATTTTGGTGTATTTTATTCCGCTCTTTGTGTGTTTCACTCTAAAGCTTTCCCGCATATATGAACCTAACTATTGTGTCAATTCTTTCACATTGCGTGGGTTTTTGCATGAATTTTAGGTTGAGAAGGCGCACAATGCTGATCTTCACTGCGTAGATTGGAACCCTCATGATGAAAACTATATATTAACTGGGTAAGTTGATCCTGGCATCTTTTGTGCTAATAACTAATTATGTGATGCCTTTAAATTCTGGAATTTCAATGTTTTTGCAATTTGAGATCATCAATGATTCTGATGTTTAACAATCTAATATTCCAGCTCGGCCGATCATACTGTGCACATGTTTGATCGTCGCAATCTGACAACTGATGGAGTTGGGTCGCCTGTCCATAAATTTCAAGGTCATAAAGCTGCTGTTCTTTGTGTCCAGGTAGCCTTACGTTTTTTTTTTTTCTTTATCCACTCAACAAACCATATCGAGTATGTTTTCTTTTATGCGTTAACTATATCTACTCAAATCTCAGTGGTCACCTGATAAGAGTTCTGTGTCCTTCTTCTAAAGACCTAGTCTTTGTTGGCTGTGCTGCTACCTGGAGTATTTAATTTTGAAATTTTCCCGTGGAATTGTGATGCTTAAAAATTTATTCGTGCAAGTGAAGCGTAAATAACTTAAATAAGAATGATTTCTTGAGTTTTATTCCACTTGATGATTGGCATGTGGTATTTATCTTGTTATAGGTTGGTCAGAAGGAAGAAACCGGTTCCAACAATCCTACTGCTCCAGCAGGGTTGTTTTTCCAGCATGCTGGACACAGGTGACATGCGTCTTCTATTCTTCTGCAATAAAAAATTAAATCGAACTTTTCAAAGTATTTTGCATTGTTGTGCAATAATAAACTTGTAAGTAATTTATGACATACATGATTGCCCAATGAAGTTTCTACCCAAACGACTAGCGAGGGATGTTGGCTAGTAGGACAATTTTCAAAAGCACTATTTTTCAGAACCTTCATCTGAAGTTTACTATGTTTACTTGACTTTTATTCACATAGGTTTTTGGATAAAAATTGAAATTGAGCTAGAATTCCTTTTTAGCATGTAACCACATATGGATTCAGAGTGTGATCTAAGGAGGACTGAATTCTAAAGTTCAGTTTGGATTTCGTTTTATTTCTCTCAATTCAATCCCTTTCATTTTTCCAGTTAGCTATAGATTTATCGGAGAAAATTATGGTTTTGTTTGCAGGGATAAGGTTGTGGACTTCCAGTGGAATGCATATGATCCATGGACAATTGTGAGTGTATCTGATGATGGAGAATGCTTCGGTGGTGGTGGTACTTTGCAGGTATTTTTTCTTACGTTTTTCCACACACCTTGAATTTTCAGTAGCCGGTTGACTAAAAAATGAAATTGGTCTCGTGTTTTGCAGATGTGGCGTATGACCGATCTCTTATACAGGCCCAAGGACGAAGTTTTAGCCGAGCTTCAAAAGTTCAAAGACCATGTGGTGGAATGCTCCAAGACTTCTTGAATCAAAACCATGATTCGAAGAACATGATGCTTTTTCTTTTAGCTGTAACTGTTAACTAACGAAACTTTATAGGATCAAGTAGGAATGGATTCGGGTTTTATTTCAGTCGAGTTACTTTATCTGACATTTTATTTTCACCCAGCTGCTACTCTCATGGACTAGACTTAGTTATTGGTTGCAATCTTCTCTGTCAAGGAATTGAATTTCACAATCTGGGCCTTCATATTNAAAATCTCTTTCGTGCTGAAATGTATATGGTTTATGTTATCCAGCCAAAACCAAACATTTATTTACTACAAAGAGTTCTTTGATTATTTATCACAAACATTTTGCTGCAATAACAAGTATTCCTCGACTCTCATTTTGCACAAACTTAACGATTTTAGTCAGAAAATAATATAATCATCAGAATTGTACAAAAAAGAAAACAATTGTTTCAACTACATTATCTGTATTGAAGATTGGAGCATGCTATAAACTGTACAACTCGAATTTTCACCAAGACACCAACAATCAATCTATGTAGATAAAAAATGACCAACTTATTTACTTTTTACACATCACAACTAGATTATCAAGTAGATGAAGTTCTTTGCACACTCCTTCGGACAACCGAGATCGCGGTCGGGTCGCCACCCCATTCTTCGAACACGACCAACACATTCCCGGTTGGTTTGAGCCACGAGCGCGGGACATGATACCTAATACGTACCAAAATAAAAAAATAAAAAAATAAAATAAATTCTATAATCGTACCAAAATGCTGGAAAATCGACAGTTCATTCAAGGGGTTCGATGCAATTTACTCTACCTAACAAAGCACAAAAGCTCGAAAATGCTTACCATCTTTGAGACGGTTTTCCGCAGCCCCTTAGGCATTTGGTCTCATAGAATGTGCCTCCGTAATAACATTCACCGCATTTGCCTTTCGCAGTGTACTCCGGCCAATGCCGGCCTATCCCATTGCCATTTATCCACGTTTCGCCTTTTCCCATGCTCGACATATCTAGGGCAAGCGGGCCATTTACGGGAGGTGCATCAAATGTCGTCTAAGGAAAATAGAAAAAACGAAAAAGAAAAATTAACGACCGACGATGAAAACTTGTTAAAAACAAAAAGCATCGAACTTTTAATAAGTCTTTAGTCAATGTGAAAGAAAACGAGTTCACCTTGTACCAAGTTAGAGGCCGTTTTTTCGCCAACTGAGATCCCTCGACCCATTCGATTGAAGAACCTCCTTTGCCCGTATAGAGGTTTAGTGATTCGCCTTTCACTCCAATCTACACTTAGGAAAAAAAAAAAACATCGTAAGTGTCGATTTTTACTACCAATTGTTAAACATGTTTTATTTTCTCACAAACATTATATTGTTAGCTATGGGCACGAACCTTGTACGACCAGCTCTGTTTTGTCAAGTCTCGTGCGCCCTCATTGAGGCCGTTTAGAGAGACGGGACCAAGAACTCCGATGTTCCAACTCTCATAGTGAACGCCGACATTCTAAGAAAATAAATTTTAATAAATAAAAACCGTTAACACGAACAAAAGAGCTCTCGAGCGAAAGGCAAAAACTTACTTGTAGTCCAACAGAAACGCTAAGTAACGAGATATTGTTAACTCCGGCCTTTAAGTTCACATTGCCGCTAAATGTTAGTTTCGGATTATCCAGGCTTCCGTACACGGTTCCTGCACGAATAGAACTTAATAGAACTCTTACGAACTGCACGAATATAATCAATTGAGAAAAAAAAAAAAGGAAAAATCAGTTTAACTACTCACCAGATAACTGGCCGTTAATAAACACATGCAGGGCATGGCCTGCAGACATCACTGTGAAAAGAGGCCATTTATCGGTTTTCAAGAATCTCTCGTCAGGAGATATGTCGACTCTGTATCCACCGATCGTATATTTAAAAAAAATATTTTTTTTTCCAAAAAAATGGAAAAGCTCGTAAAAATGTTTAGCTACTACACTTACTGCGTAAGGTACCACATATAATCCGAGGTGTCCCGAGTAACGTATAGTTGCTCTAACAATTTTTGCATGGCATTTGTGTCCTTTTCGCCAGCCGAAGGAGCATATTCGTTATACGATTTCCAAGAAAATCCGCTGCTCACCGGTATCATCTCAGGCTTCGACCCTTTGTATCTAATCTGCAGTACAACAACC